AATTGGAAGTTAATTTAAGTTTGCTCTTTTAAAACTAAAACGTAGCTGATAGGGTAATGGTTGCAGCAGATTATGTTGTTGTTACAGGAAGTATGCGCGGTGCCTATTGTCAAGTTGCTAAGAAGGAAATTGTCTGTTCTCTTCTAAGCTGGTTGGATCGCCTTGCCATGGAAAGTAGTGCAGTTTCAAGAAAAATTTAGGATTTAAAAGCTTATATTCTTTGACAAAAACGAAACAGTGCGAAGAATGGCAAAAAAATAAGAGGTTTCCCTAGGTTTCTCATACATTTTCCAAATTCTTTGTTTATGAAGTAAAAACAATAGAATAAATGAAATTACAGTGAAAGGAAAGAACAAATAAAACAACGAATTACAAGGCACAGTAGACTACGAGTATAAAACAGTCCTAAAAGTGAAGCAGGGCAAATTAAACGGAGTGTACCATTTGTGGAAGTTCAGTCCAGATGAAGGCAACAAAAATCGAAGCAAAGAAAAAAAAAAATGAAAGAACGAGACATTACATCGAAATACCAGCTCAGAATCTCGAAAGCTGTTGGTAAGTATCGATTACTAGATCCACTGCAGTTCAACAGTAACCAACAGTAACTAGCAGATGAACTAAGTTAACGACTAGCAGTTTTCTTCGATCCCTGACGTCAACGACATTTCTTTATGCAGCGCTGTTACGTTTTCCTGTTCACAGTAATGCAGAATCTGTAAGGACATTCGACCTTTTTCTTGGCCAGCATCTTTGGCATTCAGAACGCCAGTTCCATAAACTGCTAGAGATAAAAACTTATTCTCTGCCTACTAAACATTTTTCTTCATTTTCCTTTATTACCTAGAATGTCAAAAAAGCACACACAATTGTTGTGTACAAAAGTTATTGTCCCATCCACAGTTTCTAAGCTTAGTTGCGAATTCGTCGTCTCTGAGACTGAAGAAACGGAACGTTGCCTCCAAAAAGACGGAGGAAGCAAAGAGAACCAAACCCTAACCAAAGAACTTCACGTCACCATTTTCCCTGAAACAACTGATCCAGAACAACGACCACTTCAAAGTTTCATTATATTGCAACAACAGGTCACTGCCAAGGTACTTCTTTTACTCACTTTAATTCTAACATTATTAGACTTAACATGTCAAATTCCCATTTGCGCTCCAGTTCTTCAACTGGTTTCTCAAACAGTTATTTTTGTACATGGAAGAAGTGACCTGCTGAATAAATGTAAACAGGTATCAGTCAGTTAAGAACGAGGACAATTAAAACTTTTTAATTGTTCTCCTGTTAAACAAAAGCCTATTTCTCCTGCAGTTTAGCATGATTCAATCTAAACTTCGAAGTCTATCGTATCTAATCCTGTTATCTTAACGCAAGTGAGCCAAATTGAAAAAAATGGAGCACCATCCGAAAAGCCGCCATTTGACGTATAGATCCCATGTTCCGCTGGTTCTTCGCTGGATAA